TGGAGCTCAGCTGTTCTCGGTGGTAGCAGATGACAGAACAAGAAGCAATGGTCTCAGGTTGCAGTGTGGGAGGTCTAGGTTGGATATTAGGAAACACTATTTCACTAGGAGGGTGGTGAAGCACTGGAATGGGTTAGCTAGGGAGGTGGTGGAATCTCCATCCTTAGAGGTTTTTAAGGTTTGATAAAGCCTTGGCTGGGATGATTTAGTTGGTGTTGGTCCTGCTTTGAGCAGGGGGTTGGACTAGATGACCTCCTGAGGTCTCTTCCAATTCTAATATTCTATAATTCTATGAGTCTCAGTGGGGGACATGGCTCTTCCCTCTGTACAGGATTCTGTATGAATATTTAACAACTAGAGGGGAAAGGAGGAAAATCATAGGTGATTTTATTTCAAAATGCAAGAATTAGGGAGAAAACAGCAAAATCTGCAGTTGGGAGTCCAGTGTCTAGTACTTTAAAAATGGCCGTCCTCAAAGGTGACTTGAAGAGGAAAGAATGAAGGCTCTGTGTGTCCTTTGGATTTTGTGGCAGGTTTTTTTCCTCCACTAGAAAAATGAATGTTTTTCATTTTTGACTTCCAAAAATGTCTTCTCCTCTCTGTTATTGTTGGGGAGTGGTTGGTTGGCTCCCAGGTGTTTCGGGAGCTTTGTTCCATTCTCGGTGAAGATGGAAGTGCTGAATCTTGAGGTTTAACATGTTACAAAAGCAAACCATTTTTTAAAAAATGCTTAAACTGACTGAATAAAAATCCACATCCCTTCTTCTTCCCCAGAATTAAAAACAAAAAAGAATAAAATACTCCTAGGCCTTTTTAAGTGATCATAAAGGAGCAAAAATTGACACAAAACTAATTATTTCATGTTCTTCAGGTCATCTTTAAAAATTCTGACAGCACCATCCTCATAATCTCACATCCTAATTCAAACTACAGCTCAGTGCCTGCTAGGGCTAAAGGCAGCAGGATGTGTTTGATAAAGTCCTGATCACTTTCTGCCACTAGGGAACTATATTAATAAATAAACCCTTGCTGGGAAGGCATGCTCACACAGGCATGTGGAATTCCAGAGTCACACACTTTAAGATCAGAAGAGAAGTACTACGATCATCTAGTCTGACCTCCTGCATAACATAGGCCAGAGAGTTTGCCCCTGTAATTCCTGGATTGAACCCATAGCTTCTCATTGAGCTCAGCAGTGGTTCTCAATCTATTTACCATTGTAGGCCGCATATATGGCCCACAATGTGTTGTATGGGCTGCATCCAATACTACCTGCACAGCCCTGCATAGTCACATGGGCTGCAGCCGTGTGCTGATTGGGCTGCAAGTGGCCTGTGGGTGCAGGTTGAGAACCACTGAGCTAAAGCAAATCTGTTTGAAAGCCTCCACTCCTGGTTTAAACATTTTCAGCGAAGGAGAATCCAATCCGCCCCATTTCAGATTCCATTTGACAGGCCTTTTCTCCCCAGCAGACCAGAATTATTTTAAAGCTCTCCTGGAGCCCCCCAAAAGTGCTACATAGAAACGCATTGTTTTAAAAAATAAACAGGGTTTCTTGAAACACAAAATTGTCCCCCAGTGCTGACTAATAAGAAGCCAGTCCCTGATTGCAGCTAGAGCTCTTTCTAGTCAGGGCCGGCTCCAGGGTTTTTGCCGCCCCAAGCGGTGGGGAAAAAAAAAAAGCCGCGGCCGCGATCGCCGTCGGCGGCAGCTCCACCGCGCCGCTTTCTTCTTTGGCAGCACTTCGGCGGCAGGTCCTTCCCTCTGAGAGGGACCAAGGGACCCGCCGCCGAATTGCCACGGAAGAGCCCGACGTACTGCCCCTTCCCCTTGGCTGCCCCAAGCACCTGCTTGCTGAGCTGGTGCTTGGAGCCGGCCCTGTTTCTAGTGAGCAGTCATTTTCACTAAGATCAGGAAAATCACCCAGGCCCCCCATCCTTCCAAGCAGTGCTTCTATATCCTGGGAAATTTCCCAAAAGCTGGGAATTTTTGAGTAAAATGTTTTGAATGAAAATTCCCAATTTCCCAAGTTGAAACATTTTATTCACAAATTCCCAGGTTTGGGGAAATTTCCCAGGATATAGAAGCACTGTAAAAAACTTTATCTGGGAATTTTTCACCAGATTTGGGAAATTTTTAGCGCTATGTTGGGAAAAGTTGGCATCACGATATAGAAGCACTGCTTCCAAGGTATTTCAGAGGCTGTGCCATGATTGGCAAAGGTGGGGTGGAAACGTTCAGACAGACCCCCCCCCAGTCTAAGCCCCCTGGGCTCATCCCTGAGGGGGTGGGTAATGTGGGGAGACTTTTAAAATTCCGAATACCCCCCACCCACCCCTCTCCTGTGCCCCCAGCTCTGCTCCTTCCCCCTGTTACTCCCCTAACTGGGCAGAGCTGGGTAAATCTGCCACGTTTCATGGGTCTCCTACTTCTCTCCTTCTTTTTCTCTCCCTCTTCATCTTACTTTTTGCCCTTAACCTTCCTGACAGCTCCCCCCTCCCCCAGACAGATGAAGGGGAGTCCCCACTGGGGCAGACTGAGATTCCCAGAGGGGCTGCGAGATCTCAGCCTCCCTGTGTAGTCACTTTCCTGCCTGGGCCCAGCCCTTTCCCCCGGGTCTTTCCCCTCACCTGCAGGCTCCGGCTCAAGGGCTGGTGTTGGCAGAGCCCGGGGCTGCCCCAGGGGCTGGTTCCAGCTGCCGCAGAAAGTCCCACCCTGGGGCTGGGCACAGAGAGGCTTGAACAGACCCAACTGGGGAGCAGCAGCGGCTCAGCTCCAGCTCCCAGATTACAACGGAGGCAAAAGCAGCGTCTGACCCAGGAAGCTCAACCCCTGATATCCTGAGCAGAGAGAGCAAAGCAGCGTCCTTCCCCTGTGCCCCCAGTGCCACAGGAATCAGTGGGACATGGCCACAGCTCCCCAGCAACTCTGGAGGGGGCTGGGGGGCTGCTCTGGCTACGCAGCACAGCAGGGGCTGAGTGTGATTTATTGGTGCTGCTTCTCCTGTGCCAAACACAAACCAACCCACAGCAGCTCTTGGAAATGGTCCCATCAGTGAAATATTTTGAATTGTTGAAGAACAATAAGCTAAGAAGGGTAATTACAGAGCTAAGTCTCCAAACAATGCTGTCGGCTCACTCAGGGGGGCGGCGGGGGTACCCTGGCACTGAGGAGGCCCAACCATTGATGCCCAAGTGGGTCTGGCCAGGGTAAAGATCTGCCACGCTGCTTATTATATTCTAATTTTCATTGTCGCTGGAGGGCAACAAGCAACTCTCTCCAGCCTTGGCACAGCTGCCTTCTGCCTCAGTGTCTCAAAAAGACCATTGGGGATGCAGCGACACCATTTCGGTGATACGGGCAGTTGCTCTAGTTGCCGGGTCAGCGACAAAACAGGAAAACGACGGGGTGAAATTAATTTTCCTTGTGGACTAAATGGATCCACATATTCATTTCTGTAGTTATATTCGTATTGTTTGATGGGCTGTTTCTAAGTGTAATTTGCATTTGGCAGCAGGGTTGAATCTCTATTTATTTTATCTTTTGTATTGGTGTCGATCTAAAATGTGTGCTTACTTCTTGAGCATCATGGCAAATTACAGATACGGCACTAATCAATTTGATCTGGCAAACCCCTAGGAAATTCCCAGTTCTCTACAGACCCACACGAGAGCCCCTGAAGCTCAAGCCAAGACATGCAACTTTCCCCTCCAAGGAGATCTTTGGGCACACAGTCCTTTTTCCTTAAGAAATCCTCCCAGAATGAGAGCCATGAAACAGGAATATCAGGACCCCTGCAGTTTATGGCCCTGGGCAGCCAGGCTGGGTCCAGACTCCCAGGTGGGAGTCCCCAGAGCTCTGCAGAGAGTGACTCTCCCCTCCCTGCTCCACGCTGTAGGCACACCTTTGCCTACACAGCCCTGAGAATCACACTGGCCTTTGCTGCTGCTTTGTCACATGGCAAACTCCTGGGTCGCTCGTTCCCACTCACACAGTTAGTCCAGCCTCTCCAGGACAATAGGGATTATTTGCCCTTATGGCCTTCCCCAACCCCCATCGGCTTTTCCAACTCCAGGGCCTTACTCCCCGCGGGCTCCCAGAGCCATTCCCCATCCCTGGCAGGGCTGGTCTGTTTCCCTGCAGCTCAGACAATGCCCCAGGGCTTTTATGAACACCTGCACTGAGACATTGGGGCTGGTTGTTTCAGACAGTAGCAAACCCATGAGATATTTTGGCCAGTGGCAGCATTTGTTCACTGCCCTCTAGAACAGGTCCAGGGCTGGGGTTGTGATCAGAGCCCTAGGGCAGGGGTTGGATGGCTCCAGCGTGCAACAGAGCCAAGGGGGAGAAGAGAGAACAGGACAGCAGAGTACTGGTGAACCAGGGGTTCTCCCCAAGACAGAGCTGCAGGCAACACAACAGGGACCTACAGAATCACAGACACCCACAGGAAAGTGTGGGTAGGATCCAGCACCCGATGGAAAGCGAACACCTGGGATGGAGTCTGGCCAGGGGCTCTGCAGCTGCTCTATGCCCATGAGAAATGTCACAATTCTGCCCATGAGTCACTGGATTCCTCACTGAGCTGGGGCAGAGCAGATGGGACAGATGCTGGAGATGCTGCTGGGGAGAAGGAGACGAGCTGCTCCCCATCTGGAAATGTCCATCTATCCATCGTCTCGAGCTGTGGGTGTCCTCTGGGGCTCACCCCCAGCCAGGGCTCTTGGATTCTGCCTCTGAGGATGTTTCTCTCCTGCCCCAATTAAACCCCTTGTAGAGGGGAAGAGAAGACCGAGAGTTCCAGCCCAGAGGCCATCAGAGCTGCCAGAGCAAGGACACGGATGTACCTGCATTCCAGCTTCTAAAGCTGGATGGGCTGAGACATCAGGGAAAGGGCTGAATATGGGGGAAATGTGTGATTCCTGCAGAGGGAGACAACTCACCCAGTCTGGGACACTTGGTCCCTTTCCCTCCCAGAGCTCAAGAACCAATGAAATTTAAGGAATAATCCCAGTGTGCAACTATGTGAACCGAGCCCCTGCCTGAAAACAGGGACCAGGAAATCCAGTTAAATCCTTCGGCTCAGTAAAAGCCTCCTCGTGACAGAGAGCCAGGAAGGGATGGGAGGGTCAGAGATTAATACAATACAGTAATAATAATAAAATCACTGTTCTGGTGCCTCTGTCGTCCTGAGCCACTGAGCACACACGTAAATAGTGGGGCCACTTGACTCCCTTGGGAGTTGGGCAACTGTTGTTATCCCAATTGTAGAGATGGGAGGAACGGACATAGGAAGAGGTGGGGAAGTGGCTGGCACTAGTCTATGTGGCGTTTCAGGTGAAATATCAGAGAGATCTTGGCCTTGTACCTTTTCCCACACACGGAACATTCATAGGGGCACTCCCCCGTGTGCATTCTCTGATGTCTAATGAGGTTAGATTTACGACTGAAGCTTTTCCTGCAGTCAGGACAGTTATAAGGTCTCTCTCCCATGTGGATTCTCCGGTGGACAATGAGGTTAGGGCTCTGGCTGAAGCTTTTCCCACAGTCAGGGCAGCTATAGGGTTTCTCTCCAGTGTGGACTCTCTCATGTACAATAAGGTCGGAGGTGCAAGAGAAACTTTCTCCACAATCGGGGCATCCATAGGGTCTCTCGCCCGTGTGAATCCTCCGATGTCTAGTCACATGCGAGCGCTGAGTGAAGGTTTCTCCACAGTCCGGGCATTTATGGCATTTCTCTCCTGTGTGGACCCTCTGATGTGCAAGAAGGCCTGAGCTGTCCCTGAAGCTTTTCCTGCAGTCAGTGCACTTATAGGGTTTCTCTCCTGTGTGGGTTCGCTGATGTCTAATAAGATTGGAGTGGTCATTGAATTGTTTCCCACACTCAGGGCAGTTATAGGGGGTCTCTCCCGTGTGAGATCTCTGATGTCTAATAAGGTGGGATTTACAATTGAAGCTTTTTCTGCACTCAGGGCAGTTGTAGGGTCTGTCGCCTGTGTGGACCCTCTGGTGTCTTATAAGGTTTGAACTGCACTTGAAGCTTCTCCAGCACTCAGCACATTCGAACCACTTCTCCTTAGTGCAGGTTCTCGGCTGGGTCATGGCCTCATTACAATCCTCCAAACCTCCCACGCTGTGAGTGGATTCACCCAGTGTCTTCCCCGATGAGTTTCCCTGCTGCTTCTCTGGCCTGCACTGAGTTTCTTGGGCTTGTCCCTGCCCAGAAATCTGGGAATCATCCCCTTCACACCTTCCCAGCAACGACCCCTTTGCTTCCATTCGCTCAGGACTTTCCGGATAAGGATTCTCTTTGTTGCTTTCACTTAAGATTTCATCACCTGCTGGGACAGAGAGAAAATCTGGACAGGAGTCATTCCCTGTGCTGGAGCAAAAGGGAAGGTGAGAAAAGGGGAACGGGAAAGCGGGGAAACAAGCCAAAATAATATCTGGGAAGACTGACAAATCAGGAGTTGAATCCCCCCCACCCCCCAATCCTTCCCTGGAAGAAAGAGAGGATACGATACCTGCTGGGCACAATCCTGACCTGGCGGCAATGAGTTAGAACTGGAGGAGCTCAAGGGGCCTGCGTGGGAATCCCAGCACTTTAAGTCAATGAGGGATGGTTTCCACGTCCGTTTAACCAATCTCTCACCTCTGGGGATGTTTCTCTGGATCTCTCTAGCCTAGGACCCCTGGAGATAAGGGACCCACGGCTCTTCCCCTTGGTCCAGCTGGGAGATCACGCTGGGCTTGGGAATTGGAAAACCTGCTCCGGGAAAAGAAATGAAGTGAGATCAGAGTTTTACAGTTGTTCTGAGACAGCTGTTTCCAGATGTGCTGGATGGGTAGATTTTATGACTCTGGCACAGTGCCACTGTGCAAACTCTTTACACATTCCTAACCCTGCTGAGCCTATGGAGCTGATCCCTCTGAAATCTAAGGGATCAGAGAAGAACCCCTGAGCAGAAGGCAACCTGGGCACTTCAAAAATGCCCAGCTTCTAAGTCTGAGGGCACAGGAATCCTTACCCAGTGAGGTCACATTCCTGTAATTCTCCTGCATGATGTCCCTGTACAGGGCTCTCTGACCCAGGTCCAACAGCGCCCATTCCCCCTCAGCCCCGGAGAGCAGGAACATTCCTGCAGGAGAACAACCTGGTTGGCTTGGCCATGAGGGGCTCTGGCTTCAGGGCCGGCTTTAGGAAGTGCGGGGCCCGATTCGAACAGTTTCGACGGGACCCCAGCAGGGATGACTAAAAAAAAAAAAAACACATAAAAAAAACACGTGGGGCTTGTACTCACCGGGCCGCACTCCTAGTCTTTGGCGACGGGTCCTTCACTCGCTCCGGGTCTTCGGCGGCACTGAAAGACCCGCCGCCAAAGACCTGGAGTGCTGCCGGGTGAGTAAAAATTAAAAAGGTGCCTCTAGCCAGGGAAGGGATTCTCTGGCATTTGCCCCCCACTCTGGGCGTCCCTGCCAGTGGGCACGGGGCCCTCTTAGGCGCGGGGCCCGATTCGGGGGAATTGGTGGAATTGGCCTAAAGCCGGCCCTGTCTGGCTTAACCTTTCCTGCTCTCTGCTAATCTCCGGGCTCCCCTGTGCTGGGTCTGAGCTGACTAACAAACTTTGCTCTGTTTGGAAAAGGCTGCCGGGTGTCACTGCAAATCCTGGACCCTGCAGAGCGGGCAGGTCTCTGACCAGGAGTCTGGCTCAGTTGGATTCATTGGACAGAGCTCACGGTGTGAAGCACCAGGGCTGGAGCCCAGACACTCGGTCTTGGAGGCAGTGAGGCCATGTGGCCTCCCCTTGCAGAAGAGTGGGACTCCTGGGGGGTCTGGTCCACTGAAGGGGAACCCCCAAGGGACTGTTAAAAAGCTGGGGGTGTCGCACCGATCCTGTGGATCTGCGACAGCAGCTAGGATGCATACTGAGGAGGGTGAAGGAGGATATGGGGGTGGAAGTGGGAGGTAGGCCAAAGTCTGGACAGGGGTTGCATGGGGTGGGGGAGGAGACAAAGGAGGGCACAGAGGGATGTGATTGTGGGGGGATGGGCGCAGATGATGGTTGGATGCATGGGGGAAGGCGCACAGGGATTTGGGTGTTGAGGAGACTGTCAGGAGGTAGCTGGAAGGGTTCCCAGGGGGACATGAGACGGGATTGGCAGGAGACAGGGGATATAGGAGGCAGAATGAAGAGGGCGCAGGGGGATGTATTTGGGTGGGGAAGATGGGAAGCAGACTGAGGAGGGTGCTGGGGAGGTTGGGGTTCAGAGACACACCGGGAAGGGGACAGGCCCAGACTGAGCAGGGGGTGGTCAGATATTTTATAGCTTAAAAGCTGGTGCTATTCAGGCCCAACTTCTGACATTAAAGCAGGAATTTCATTGACTGGTCTCCTCCCCTTCTGCATGTCCTGCTCCCTCCCCTTCCCACCGCACATTCAGGCAAAGCCCCCAGCCACCCGCACAACCCCCTGACAACCCCTACCTGAGCTGGGTCTACTGCCACCATTCCCCTTGGTACTCTGCAGCCTGTCAGGGTGCAAAGGGCAGGGGAGAGATTTCCCGTCCTCTGTCCTGCTGGGAAAATTCATTTAAATTGCCCTGTTGTCTGGGATCATCCTTTGAATTTACTCCCACAATTATTTTCCATGCATTCCTCTCCTCCCCAGCTGAATGTGCAGATGGCACCTGTGTGCACGCCAAAGCCTCGCAGGGGATTCCCACATGGGGGGGGGGGCACATTTTGCCTCTGTTGTCCCTGAATTTTTTGGGGTGTCTGTTTTCTATGGGAAGCCACTAAACCAACCCTCCCGCCCCTCCCCTGCCCTGCCCTGCCTCTCTTTAGCTCTTCCCCTTTGGGACTTTCAAAGGGCTTCACCCACATTCACCCCTCAGCCCCTGTGCGGTGGGTCAGGCTCAGAGCCCTGCCCTAGGGGCAGAGACAGCCGCGACTGATCACCCTGCACCCTTAGCCGGAGCTTTGTCATCCAGAGAGCTCCCAGCGCTTTACGTGCATCTTCAGCTCTTCCCCCGGGTCTCTCCCCTCACCTGCAGGCTCCGGCTCAGGGGCTGGTGTCGGCAGAGTCCGGGGCTGCCCCAGGGGCTGGTTCCAGCCCCCGGCGAAAGTCCCCCCGGCTGGGCACAGAGGGGCCCTAGGGAAGGGCTCTCCCCGCACAGACCCCGCTGGGGAGCAGCGGCTCAGCCCGGACTCCCGGCTTACCATGGAGGAAGCACTGGCAGCACGATCTGCAAATCTGTCTGACCCAGGAAGCTCAACCCCTGATATCCTGAGCAGAGCCAGCGTTAGCAGCCTCCTCTCCCTCAGCAACAAACAGAGCCCGGCCCCGCCAGGAATGAATGAGCTGCATTAAAATCCACATTCTGATGAAAAAACCAGAAGGCCAGGAAATGAACAGGGCGCAGGTTCAATGGATTAACAGCTGGATAGTTGATAGGTCTCAAAGTAACTGTCACTAGGGATTCAGCATTAAGTGGTTGAGTTTCCAGGGGGCCCCGCAGGGGTTGGTTCTTGGCCCTTTGCTATTTAACATTTTTATCAATGAGCTGGGAGGAAATATAAAAACATCACTGATAAAGTTTGCAGAAGACACAAGATTGGGGGAGTGGCAAATAATGGAAAGGGCAGGTCACTGATTCAGAGCAATCTGGATCACTTGGTGAACTGGGCACAAGGAATATGTGTTATAATACGGCGAAATGTCAATGTAGACATCTAGGAACACAGAATGTCGGCTGTACTTACTGTCCAGGGAGACAGTGACTGTGGAGAAGATTTGGGCGTTGTGGTGGATAATCAGCTGAACATAAGGTAATGCAATCCTGGGCTGCTTAAACAGGAGAATCTCGAGTAGGAGCAGAGAGGTTATTTTACCTCTGTATCTGGCACTGGTGCGACTGCTGCTGGAATATTGTGTCCAGTTCTGGTGCCCACAATTGAAGAAGGATGTAGATATATTGGAGAGGGTTTATTGGAGAGTCTTGAGAATGATTAAAGGATTAGAAACCATGCCTTAGAATGATACACTAAAGAGCTCAGTCGATTTAGCTTACAGAAATGTTAAGGGGTGACTTGATAAGGGTCTATAAGTATCTGCATGGGGAATCAATATTTAATAAGATGCTCTCCAGCCCCTTATTAAATAAATAATAAATGTAAATAATGTGTAAATTTTTAACAGTGAGAGTAACTCACCATTGGAACAATTTACCAAGTGACCATTTGTAAAGCAAATTGGATTTTTCCCCCCTGAAAGATCTGCTCTAGGAGATCTGCTCTGGCCTGTGTTACACAGGCAGTCAGACTAGATGATCACAGTGGCTCCTTGGAATCTATGAATTGACTTTAGGATTAAACGGAAAGCCGAGACAGAGAAAGAAAGAGAGAGAGCGAGAGAGAGCGGCAGGACAGGAGGAAGAATAGTGGGGAGGCCAAAAGAAATGCGCAAGGGAAGGGGAGACAGAGACAGAGGTGGAGTCTTCACTGGTGCGGTGGTGATGGCTGAGATTTGGGCTTTATAATGATGCAATGATTTTTTGAGATCGACGGGCAAAGCATGACATCCCTGGAGCAGAGTGGAAACCTGACAGTCATCCCCATCCTCCAAGAATCCCTCAATCGGGCCCCCTGTCCTCCCAAAGTCTCTTCTGAAGGGCCTCAAAAGAGGGGTGATGGGTGGAATAGCCCAGCCTCTCATTACTGTGTCCACCAATCATAGGTGCTGGAACTAGGGGTGCTGAGGGTGCTGCCACACCCCCTGGCTTGTAGTGGTTTCCATTATATACAGGGTTCACAGTTTGGTTCAATGGCTCTCAGCACCCCCACTCTACAAATTGTTCCAGCGCCCCTGCCACCAATTAGGCCTAGCTTTCAACATGCCAAGTTTGGTCAACTAACTTCAGGTCCCAATGTCCCATGCTCTTTTTGTTTCCCTGGCATGGTCTCAACACCATCCTTGAGCTACATCTGTAAACCTTTCTGTTTAGACTAACTTAGGGGGTTTTGTTGTTACAATTTTTTTACTTTTGCTGATTTTATAAACAATTTTATCTACTAGGCTGATTCGGACTTGTGTTACCTTCTGCCATTAATGTTTGTTGTGATGGGTGATTGGGCCACTTTACAACCTTTCATCTACTCTCCCATAGTTAGGTTCACAATGGGGGTAGGCCTAGTATGCCCCAACTATCTCTACCAACACCAGAGTGCTGATGGTCCCCATGGCCAGGAGACATCCTTGTGTACCTCTACTGACACAGCCTATGGAACGCAGCTCTGAAATCAAGCATAACTGATCCTTGGAAGTACACCCACTGCTCCTCATATCACAGTAAGAGCTCTGCCAACCTGCTCCAACTAATCCCTTCCCCTTTTATTGTGGCTACACCATAGTAAGGTGGTGGGACCTTTTTATCGGGCCCCTGTTCCGCGAGCCCCCCCGTCTCCCCCGCTCCCATACTCGGAGCCGGCTGCACGCTCTGCAGCCGGTCCGGTTTCGAACCGCGCCCAGGGACCACCTGTACACGCTCGTGCTCCACATGTTGCATCTCCTCACCCTCGCGTCCCGCCCCGACACCAAATGGCGGGACTATCTAACGCCTGTGGAGGGTGAGGAGCCCCGGTGGGCCAGCCTTTATTCTACCTTAGTCCCAAGGCCCGCCGGGGACATTGGTTGGCGGCTCCTTCACGGAGCCGTGAGCACGGGCGTGTACCTGGCGCGGTTCACCCCTATTCCCGAGGCCTGCCCATTCTGCGGCGTGAGGGAGACCCTGGCGCACGCCTACCTCGAGTGCGCCAGGTTGCAGCCCCTGTTCCGGCTTCTCCAGAACCTCTTGTTGAGGTTCTGGCTGCACTTTTCCCCACACCTGTTCATTTATGCACACCCTATCCGTGGCCCCACTAAGTCGCGAGACCTCCTCGTCAACCTCTTCCTGGCTTTAGCCAAACTTACCATCTTTAATACCAGGGAGAGGATGTTGGACGAGGGGGTGCTCTGCGACTGTGGGGCCTATTTCCGTACCTCCCTAGTTTCACGTCTCCGGGCAGAGTTCCACTGGGCAGCGTCCGCTGGCTCCTTTGCCACCTTTGAGGAGCAGTGGGCACTGTCCGGGGTTCTCTGCT